TTCTCTTCTTAATGGTATTTTTACTTTAGAGCTCACAGAGTACTTTTCACACATATCGTTTCATTTTGTTCACATAAACGATCCTACTGTGAGATTATCCTTTTTAAAAATTTAATGCAGAAGTGGAGGTTTTAGCTGTATGATAGAGATGGCATGACATTGCACTTTATAACTACAAGTACTATCTTTTTCTATTAGACCTGGCTACATGTACAAAAAGTATCACTGAAAAGGCTCCATGAGGACAGTAAAGAGAAAAATTTCCCAGTGTTAGCTAGTGATATTTAATAATACTGGGTATATATATTTCACAATTTTAATATAATTCAATTATGCATGCATTTAAAGGAAACAAATTTGCCTACCAGGAATAAAGAGTACACTGTGTTCTTTACACTCTGATACTGAAAAACAGATGCTGGCATAATGAGAAAATAAGGGAATTAAACTACTTGTTTCAAGTAGTTTAATTCCCTTTACACTCTGATACTGAAAAACAGATGCTGGCATAATGAGAAAATAAGGGAATTAAACTACTTGTTTCAAGTAATCAGATAACTTGGTTAATGGTGGTCCTGTGTGTTCTGCTACACCCCCTATTGTACCTCCACCCTTTGATGAACTGTACCTCCTAAACATATTCTTTATGGACTTCACTGGTTTTTTAATATGGCAAACACAAAAGCATTTTTGCATGACATAATGCAGTCTTTATCCTATGACAAGGTAGAGCACAAGTAAAAGTGCTCAAATCTCTTAGGAAAATGAGTAAACAAGAGATGTGTAAAGCTTTTTGGGGAACATATCACAGAGATTTTTTAATTAATTAATTAATTATTTACATGATTTCTCCTGAGATATAAAAAGTTAGGGAGGCTTTATTTTACAAGATGGGTTAAAAATACCAGTCACTGTCAACAGGATCATTCTAATCAATTCTACTCATGAAACAGAGATATTTTTCTTTATATTGACAAAAAAGCATGATTTTTGAGCCAATGTTTTCCAAACTATACTCCAAATGCATTATTTATTTTCAGGTCTAAAATTTAGGAATTAACTCTAATCCACATATGGATATCTGATCTTCATCCTTGAGTTTTGAAAGATTAACTTATTTTATCCTCAGAAAATGGTACTCATACTGATTTATAAAACAATCAGATACTGGAATAGAGTTTATATCTATTTCATTTAATAAATCCCACCAACTGAAAATCTTTGGCATCTTAACTGTACTTGTTCCTATTCTTCCAAATATAACGGAAAATTTCAATCTTCTAATTGTACTTAATAGAGTGTACATTTCCCACCACTGTAATTATCACAATTACACGCTGCCTATGTCTAAAAAGAACACTTTAAGGAGCACAAACTGCCTCTCTGTCAGGGTAACTTTATTGGCTGCACTGAGTCTCTGCTTCTGAACTGGAATCCTGGTAGTTGACTGTAGCTGAGTGAGAACGCAGACAGCGCTGACCCAGTTGTTTCATCCCTGGTTGAATCCTGACTTATTCCTTTCCCAGTTCTGTGACCTTGTGCAATTCTCCACGTGTGAAGTGCTTGCATTCTCATTTACTCAGGGATAGTGAACTACTTACCTCACATGGCTGTTAGAGGATGAATTCAAGTCATAAATATAAAGAATCTTGCACAGTGCCCAGCCCATAGCAAGAGCTCAGTACATGTTGGGTATCTCACTATCAGCCTCAATAAAGTGGTGGTACAAGGCACACAGTTTATGGCACATGTGTGCAAGACTTTCTGTGTAAAATGAAATTACGACGAGTGAAGATCACAGTCTGTAGAAACTTTGTATGTTTTACATTTCACTTGGAAATAGTATCAGTATATTCACATGGAGTTGGAGATATCCTCTCATTTCTACAATTATTTTAGCTCCATTGTTTTCTAAGTACAGTGGCTGGCTGCATCCTCTCAGATCAATCTCTTGTTCTTTTCCAGATTTTGTCAAATAAAGGTCTTCCCAGTCATTGTACATTCCACTTCCTGGTCATGGGCTGGGGAAAAGGGAACAAGCCACAAACTCCAAAGCCCAGTGGTAACACTCAGAGAAGTAGTTTGGCCCTGCTGCTCTCCTGCAGGAGCAAGCCACGCCGAGTCCTCCAGGCATGGCAAGGTGCAAAGGCACCACTCATGCAGCCACTGTTTATGAGAGTAGCTCCCCAAACACGAAGGAGGGAAAAACATGGAGGGAGTCTGATCCCAAACTTCAGAGTTTATTTAAAGAGGTTTTGAAAGTTTCCAAAAACATGAATGTTAAATTTGAGTGAGAAATAAGAAGAAATATATCCTTCTCCCTGATCATTGTCTGGCATTTCTAGTGTTCCTGGAACAATTAATCATTCACAAAATTGGTAGTTAGTTGTTCAGGCTAACAGAGATTGCTCTATTCCTCCTTGGAGTCAGGGGCACAGTCCTTAGGCAACTCTGCAACTCACAGAGCACAGTGAAGCCTCCAAGCTGTGGAACTGAACTAAGCACCATTTATCATGTAGTAACATTTCACCACGTTCCACAAGGATGTTGGACAGCTGTAAATTTTTATCTCGAGGGCTGAGCAATAAAATAATATGTTTATAATAAAATTATATTTATCATATGCATAAAAATCTCCTGGAGTAAGAAGAGCCTGACAATCCTTAGGGTATCCAATATCTCAAGCTAAAGTATGCAAATCTCTCTGTACATTTATTACTCTACACCAGTACCAGTGCAAACACCTGTAATTAGTTTATATCCCTTAAGCCCAGATGAAAATTTAAAATATTACCAGTAGGGAATCACTATATATTTTACTAAAAGACCCAAAATCTAACTATAAATATGCTAATTTTAAAAGGATTATTAATATGTTTTATTGATATATTTATCAATTTGTTACTTAAGTGAACAATTGGTAAAAACTTCCTTCTTAGAAATTTTAAGGCATACTCAGGGAAAGCTAAAAAATTCAGTTAAGTAACTTGCAGTGATAATGTTACTGCTTTCTGAATTATTACATGTGCAAACTCTCTTCTTCCTGTGGCAGAGATGATGAGTGTACCTTTAGCAGCATCAGAATCATGCAGAGGACCTGATAAAGCAGACTGCTCGGCTGGTGCAACACCAGCATTTCTGAGTACGTAGAGAATACTGAGTGGTGGCTTGTGGTTTGAATATCTTACAGGTTCACGAGGGCTGCTGGTACTGCTGGTCTGAAGACCACATCTGAGCATTACTGCTTCTATACAGGTCAGAGAGAAGCAAGGCTAATACAATTACATGTTAATATTGCTACCTCAGGGGACTGACTATAGAACACTTCAGGGCACTGATAGAAACAGAGCAAAAGTTCATCAACCATTTAAAGCAGCTATAATAAAATTTATGTTAACATATCAAAATAAAGTGTTTTAAAATATCACGAATTCAGAGTATATATCTGTGAATTATAAAACTGAACTATTTTGATGTTAAACCCTAGAAAATTTTTTCTTATAAACTTTGCTTCTTATTAGTAATAGATCCTTAAAACTCCTTTCTTTTTAAGTGGAACACTGAGGACTATTAAATGGAAAAACAAAAAGAAATGAATTCGTATAACAATTTCTACAATAGTACTGTACTTATATTTAGAAAATTCTTAAGAGAAGCTCATTTGCTGCCTATATAAATTTAATATTGTCTAATTCTGTTAGTGGACAAGAATTCATTTACTTTCAGTAGTAATAAAAGTTTGTTTTTATTATTTGATAAACAAGAAAACTTTCAGAAATTTAAGAAAAGATAAAACTAGGTATGTTTTTTATTTGTGCAAATAACAGGCATGCACAAAAATATGGTGTCTTAATATTTGAAAAATAAATGACAACAGTTAACAACATTTTCTCACACAATGTGACTTTAGAAAAATCTACAAACGTACATTAAAATTTAAGAATGTGCATAGTTTTTCCCCCTTGTCTTTTTAGGAACACATGTTTCTTAGCTACAAGAAACTAACAAACATCAATTGAAGGCATAATACCTTCTGAAACAATTGCACCTATTTATATATCCAAGGACAAAATGATATATAAATGATGGTATTTATATATCCAAGGATGTATTTGTCTTCATTCATTATGTCACTGAGCTTTGCAGCTATATATAATTCGCATACTCCCTTTGGAGGGAACATTGAACTTTTAAGATTATCGTTTGAGAAATATCTATAACTTGGCTAGAGGCTTGATTAGTATCACGCTACAACCCAGAAAATAGTAGTAGATAAAGTGAACTGCTCTGGGGGTTTGAAGATACCTAAATGAACTAGCAAGAAGCCAGTAATTTCAACTTCTGTGCCATGAGATTAATAGCTAAGTGTACCTAAAGCTTCAAAGAAAACTGCAAATAAACTCTCTGTGGAGTGGCAGGACAGCTTGCACTTAACAAGCAGTGTGGCAGAGGAGGAGGGTGGGCTAACAAGATGGAATTCCCAAAAGGATAGAATTTGACTTTGCTACTTTCTGGTTGTGTGAACTTGAGTAAATTTTTGACATGCTTTTGTTTCACTTCCTCATCTCTAGATGGACGTAATAACTGTATCTGTTTCATAAGGTTGCTGGGAGAGCAAATGACTTAATAACCAAAATACTTACCTCGGTGACTGGATAGCTTTAAACACATGAACAACATTATTATTTACTTATATACTGTATAGTTTATTGCATATAAACTTCTTATACCTTGCGTAATACATTTGGTAATCATAGTCACTCATTGTTTTCTATTGTATGTTAGCAACTGTCATTTTTAGTATTTTGCCCATTTTAGTGTCATTCTATATTTCTTCTTTATTTCCCATATCGTAATATATCGTTTCAATATTACCTAATTTCTACTGTCTGCATTATTCTCATCTCCAAATTTTAATTGCAGTTAGAAATTAATAGAAAATATACTGCTGGTAAAATATTAATTACCATTACAATTTAAGTCATTCATTCATTGATTTATTGAACCACACAGATACATGTTTCATTTTGTCTTTTTCACTAACAGATTCAGACCTCAATTACTAAATTTCCTGCAGTTAATTCTGACAGGGACTGAAACAAAATATGGAAGGGATCACACTTGATTAAAGTTAAGTTTTTACATAAAAAGAAAACCAAATAGAAACTAATTGTTATTCCATTTGTACTCTTATAATTATCTCAAAATAAAATTGTATTCTTACAATTATCTCAAAATTATCTCATCTTCCACAATAAATAACTTTCTTGGCCTAAGTTTCAGACTTTCTATACCACTGGAATTAAGAAATTTATTCTAGTGACAAAAACTCTGCATCTGCTCATTATTCTGCTGGCTGCTGTGGATAAAGGGTCTTTGTGATGCTTGTGAACATATATTTGACACTCTCATTTCCTCATCAGGGAAGAGAGAGGACAGAACACTTATGAGCACATCTTCTGTACTGTCATCAATGGAAGCAATCTGTAGAAGCTTGAGAGGTGATCACAGGAATCAACAGAAAATGCCTTCCTAATCGAAGATGCATGACACCTTTCTTTTGTTCAGCACATATTTGTGGCAGAAGAACTTACTGGCTTCCAGTGTCCCTCTCTAGCCCTGGCCTTGGACATGCAACTTTGCAGCAGGGCTCCCTGTGCATGTGGACTGTCTCCTGCACCTTTTTTGGGCTTCATTGCTTGATGTACTATGCTTAAGGTGCAACAGTGGGACATTGCTCAAGTCAGCTAATCCTCAAGTGACATGGATGTATACAGAAAGGTTTATTATTCTACACCCCTGAGATTTGGTGGTTATTGGTTACATAGCACTAGCTGACTGACATACACTGACTTTCAGATGACAAAAGAAAATGTTTACTTTTCTTTTGTGGGTGAATGCTAAGTATGTGTTCTACTACTGAGCTATGTACGCAACCCAAGGCCATATCTTTTTAAGAAAGCAAGAAATAAATCCAAAGGTAACTGTAACAGATGATTTAATTTTATATATATTGTAGAAGAAATCAGTAAGGTTTACTTTTTCCATTATCATGGCATTAAAGGATGATAATTAATTTATAAAACAATAACATACTTGGTTAATAAGGCAAATTTACATTTGGTATACCTTAAACTACACCAGTGGAAACTAAAAAATTGTGCTCATTAAGTTTACTATAGTTTTAACAATCAAGATTAAGACAATGAAACTGTGTAAATGGAAATAACCAACATATTTTTTTTTTGGTATGGGGAATTGAACTCAGGACTTTGTGCTTACCAGGCAGAATAACCAATATTTTTAATGAGTAATAAATGAATTTCCAGACAGTGTTATAACTTTATAAAAGTATTCCTAATGATTTAATTGTACTACCTTTTGAGGGATATTATAACATATTCAATCACTGGAAGCAGAGCAAATCTCTGTTGTGTAAGTACTGCGTGCTAATGTATCGTGCCATTGGAGCTCCTAAATCACTGTTGAAAAACAAACATTGAACACTTAAAAGAAAGTCTTGGCAAGTATATTGATTATATAAAACTAAACCCATTAGGTTTCCAAATATTAAAAACTTTTTCCCTTCTGTCTAATATGCCCTAGTGTGAATATGATCTAGGTGCAGCTATGTAAGAAAATGTTTTAAAACCTGCCTTTATAACCAACACTTTGTGTTGATAAAACTTTAAAATCTTTGTTACCATTTATCATCGATTACACGGATATCTCTCACAATTGGAATGCGTGCTATAATGAATAGATCTTCACTATGCTGAATCACATTTTGCATTGTACAATTACATAGGAATAAGAAGGGCCTCCTCAGCTGAAACTGACTGACTTTTATATAGAAAAATGCCCATAAAGCTCCTTATACAATTTCAGACTAACCAGTAAATTGAATTAATGATTATAATTAGAGATCAATTTAACAAAGCTCACTTAAAAATATTCTTGAAAAAAATTAAGTATGAGATCTTCTAATATTTGGTGAAATTCTAAGAAAGTGAGGCATTATCAACAGTTTCTGTCTCTGCTGAGCTTAAGAGAATGCCCAGTCTCCATAAATAAAAAGTAAGTAATGGAAATGTATCAGAAAGCTGAAAGATAGCTTCCTCGTGCTTCTGGAGGTATTTCTTGATTTCTTGGTCACCATGCCCTGTACTTGAAGTGCACTCTTCTCTGTTTTCCTTTTGAAGAAGCTGTTCCAAAACCCACAATAAGGAGAAAACATTTTCATAGCGTGTCACATCATAACTTGCTTGTACCTATAAATAAATAACAAAATCCATGAAAAAATATGGGGGTAGATTATTAGCGCACTAAGATGTCAAATCATAAGATTAAAATAATTTTCACACAAGATAAAAAAAATATCCAGTTTGCTGAACATCTCTCTTCTTGTCCCTTTGATTCTTAGAGAGGAGAACAGAATAAAATTTTCTTTAAGGACTTTACAATCGTAATGCATGTATTTTTCCTTGATGGTTTATAAAACTTAAAATCTTTTTCTTGAAGTCTAGCTATATAATTTAAGCATCCTTAAACTGAAAACCCAAAATCCAAAATGTTCTAAAATCCAAAACTGCTGAGTGTCGACATGGTACACAAGAAGAAAATTCCGTATCTGATCTCACGTGAAAGATTGCAGTCAAAATGCAGGCACACTGAAAATATTGTGCAGAATTACTTTTAGGCTGTGTATAAATGTATATGAAACAAGTGAATTTCATGTAATTTGGATTGCATTTACAAGGTACTTATTCTAGGTATTCAAATATACAAAAATCCAAACAAGTCCAAAATCTGGAATACTTTTGGTTCTAAGCATTTTGAATAAGGAATATGCAACCGTCAAATGTTGAGTGTTGAATTTATTATTTTGCGAAAAACATTCTGTTGATACTCCTGCCAATGATAACACAAGGTTCTTTGCAAATAAGATGTTAGGGCCATGTTTTGATATAAAATTCAGCCCTACAGCAGGTAAAATTAAGATCTGTATGTGACTAGATGTGGTCTTGTCCTGAGTCTACACAAGTTAAAAGGAAGCAACATTAGACTGTGTGGAATCAAACACATGGACAGGAGGCAAAGCATAGATGTGCTTTGTAGAACTCAATTGGTCTAGAGGCTAGATACAAGGCAAATACCAGAAAGACCTACAAAGTAGACAATGCCAAGTGTAACATGAGAGAATATCACAAGTAGTATGAAAACAGAAGCTGGCTTTATTATTTACGTATTAATTAGGAAATATCTTAGAGACATGAATGCTTATGAGGTAAGCAGAATGCTTATCACCATTTTACAGGCAGGAAACTGGGCTTCTACAAAGTACACTAATTAGAACAATGCTACACATCTTAACCAGGGATGTTCTTCTTATAATTTTTGTTCATGTTCATTAAAAAAGTATTGTCATTGGAAAAAACAAAGAAATGTGTTGAAAACATTTACCAAATCTATCCATTTAAACAATACATAAATGAAAGAATTTTCTTTTAGAGTCAGAGGAATTTAACCTTCAAAAAGGTGGCCCAATAAATGCAGTCAAATTTGTATGGATCTTGGAAAATAAGCAAATTTCTTCTTTACAACCTACCTCTCTGAGAGGTGGCTGTACGCCCTTCAAGGGTCACTGGTTACTGTCATCCTTGAGCAGTGAGATGCCACTCTTTCAAGCCCATGTGTGCTTCACCCCTAAGCTGCAGCCCTGCTGCAGGAGCAGCCTCATGCACTTATGGGTTAAGTGGCAGTGCCCACCCCACACATCATACACAGCCACTGTCACATAGGAGAGTTTTCCCCAGTGGGCCCCAAGGCCCCTGTTTCTCTGACTGCATCTGTGTTCTAGGCACCAGTTCAGGTGTGACAGAGAGCTGAGCCCTTCCTTGACCCTGGAACACTGTACCTCTGAGCACATCTGTGCTCCAGTCTCAGCTTCCTGACTATTCCACAGGCACCTTTGCCTTACGTACTGCCACCAATGCAGCAGAGGCTGCACCTGAGCCCCCAAATCCAGTCCCACTGCTCTCCAGGTCCTCAGGTCCCCAATGTCAGAGTCCTTTCTCCTGTTCCCTGTGCTCTGGGTGGTGCTCCACTCATCAGACTCCAGTCCCATGAGCACTGCAAGAGACACTGCAAGCTGAACTTGATGATTAAAGGGACACCTCAGATATAAATTTTGCGGTAGGAGAGAAAGAAAGCAATTGGGAGAACTATAGTAGACATCACCACTAAAACTCACAACAGACATGTATAGTGTTGATTGCTAAGTATCTCCACAGTACTTAACACAACCAGGATCTTTCAACAAGGGCTGCACAGAAACACCACAACTGTGCTCTCCCTGGTGGTAGAGCTACTATCCCACCCAGCAAGTGCACCACTACCTCCCATCACAAAGGGAATGGTTTTCCACAACAAAACTAGACCGTCAAGTCTGGAAGAGATGACTGCATTACCAAATGCACAGACATCAACATAAATAAATGAGAAATGTGAGAAACCAAGAATATATATGACCATAAGAAACATAATTATCTCCTAGTAACTGACCCAAAAGAAATACAGATATACAAACTTCTGACAAATAATTTAAAATAATCTAAGGCAGCTCAGACAAGTTCAGGAAAATTCTACATAAATGAATAAAATAAAAAATTTATCAGACAAATTGAAGTTATTGTCTTAAAGAGCAAAGAGAAAAGTATGGACCTGAATAATAAATGAAATGAAATGAAAAATACAATTGATATATCAACATCTTATTCATCAGGCAAAAGAAAATAATCTATAACTTAAAAATATACAAATAAAACAGTAATGAAAATAAAGTACATGATTTATGGGACAACATCAAAACAAGTATTCTAATTATAGGAGTGAAAAAGGAAGAGACAATTTGAAAGAATGCTTATTTAAATAAATAGTAGCAGAAAAATTTCCAAATATAAGGAAGTATAAAGATATCCACCTACAGGAGACAAGGTCTTTATTCTCATTTAACTCAACCAAGACTGCATAAAGACATAGCATAATCAAATGGTCCAAAATAAAAGACAAAGAAAAGAGTCTGAAAGCAGCAAGAAAAAAAAAGCATAAGAAAGTGTCATCAGGCTAACAGTGGACTGCTCAGCAAAATCCTTGTAAGTCAGAAGACATTATGTTCAAAGTGCTGAAGGAAAAAAATGGCAATCAAGAATACTTATGGGAAGAACTGTCCTCCAGAAGTGAGGGATTCACAAAGAGTTTCACATGGAGACCAAAGCCAAGAGAGCCTATGACCACCAGAATTACCTTATGATAAATGTTAGAGGAAATGCTTTACATTTAAAGAAAAGCATGCTACCTGGAACATGAAAATATATGGAAATATAAAACTCACCGGTAAAAATGTACATAGTCACATTCAGAATAACATCTTTAGTATGAGGATTAAAAGGAAAACATTAAATATAATAATAGCTACAATAATTTGCTGAAAGATTCATAATTTTATAAAGAGATAAAAAATGACACAAAAATATAAAAAGTAAAAAGTGGAATAAAAGTGCAGTTTTTTGAGGAAAAGATAAGTTACTAGCAGTTATAAGTCTTGTGATAATCATAAGGTGAGAATTTATAGAGGATACAAAGAAGATAAAAATAAAGCATGTTACTGGAGAAGAATATCTAATCACATAAAAGACAGCAAGAGAAAGAAAGCAACAGAGAATATACAAAACAACCAGGAAACAGCAAAATGGCAGTAAGCCCCATCTATTAATAATTATGCTGAATCTAAATGGATTAAATTACACAATCCAAAGACAGAGTGACTGAATGGACAAAACAAAATCAAGATGCAAGTGCTATCTATAAGAGATTGATTTCACTTTTTAGGAAGTGAAGACTGGAAGTGAAGGGAAAAACATTCATGCAAAGGGTATCTAAAAGATAGATAAGGCAGCTATAGTTGAATCAGACAAAATAGATTTTAAATCAAAACATGTAAAATGAGACAAGGAAGATCATTACATATTGATAAAAGTTAGTGAAGAAAATATAGCAATAGTAAGGATATATAATTCACCAAAGCAACCCCTAAATAAACATGTAAAGTGAATATTAAAAAATCTGAAGAGAAAAATAGTGGGAGACTTCAATACCCTACTTTCAACAATGTATAGATAATTCAGAAAGAAAATAAATAAAAGCACAGGGTTTTAAATATACTTTAGATTAAATGGAACAGTAGCATACATGGATCACTCAATCCAGCCACATCAGCAGGGCATTCTTCTGAAGAACACACAGAACACCCTACATCCTCCAAGGCAGACCATGCTAACCCATAAGAAGCTATTACAATTTTAAAAAGAATAAACTCATATAATGAAGTACCTTTTCCAACTACAATGACATGAAACAAAAACCAATAAAAGGAAGACTTTGAAAACTCACAAGCACATTAAAATTAACATTTTCTTGAATTAGAAATCTGAAAAAAAGAAAATATATCTAGAGATGAACAAATGGAAATACAGTATGCTAAAATTTATGGGGTGTGGTATAGGAACAAATTATTATATCAAAAAGGAGAAAATTTGAATAAACATTCATACCTCCAAGATCTACAAAAGAAATAAACAAAGCACAAAGTTGGAAAAAGGGAGTAATCAATATCAGAGCAAAGATACATGAAGTAGATACAAAAAATTAAAAATAAATGAAACAGATAGATAGATAGACAGATAGATATAAAACAAAATCTTAGGTAGGCCAAGAAAAAAATAGGAAAATCTCAGATTAAAATTAGAAATTAATGCCAAAACATTAGGCCTAGTTCTATATAAATACAAAGGATCATGAGAATTTACCATGAACAAAAAATTACACAGCCTAGAAGGAACAGATAAACTCCTGGATACATAAAATCTACCAAGCTTGAATCATAAAATATGAAACATCTGAGCAGTCCAGTAACAAGTAAGAGGACTGAATCAGTTATAAAAGTTATCCCATCCAAGAACATACCATAAGCTGATGGCCTCACTGCCGAATTTTACCAAACATTTAAGGACTAATACTAATCTTTCTTGAACTCTGCCAGAAAGCAAAGAAAACAAAATCCTTCTAAACTCATTTTGTGAAGTCAACATTACCTGATAGCAAAGTCACACAAGAACTCTAAGAAAAGAACATTACAGGCTGATAATCCTCATGAACAGAGATGTAGAAGCACACAACAAAATATTAGCAAACTGAATTTAACAGCACATTA